GGCTGCCAATTAGAAAATAGAGGTGTACAGTAGCCTACTTATTCAGATAACATCCAAACAAAACAAAGGAAACCAAAATATTGGGCTAATTGGTCCAACATACAATCACCAATTAAATATAAACACAAAAATGTCATAATGTCTCAGAGACAATAGACCATCACAGTCCACACAAAGAAGCAAGATAAAGCAGTAGAAACAAGGGACCAGGATACAAACCAGAACACATTCCTGCTGAAGAAGCAGCACTGGAACTTCTTGATAAGGGAATCAGAAGAATTATATTTAGATACTTTCATTGGTTGAGAGACAAATCAAGGAAAACACAGACAAAATCATGAAACGATTTTGGAAGACAATACAAAAACAAAATCACAAAATAAATGAAAAATTAGACATGATACAAAATCTACACATAGAAATCCAGAAGATTAATACTATATTTTCAGAAATAGATAAAGCATTGAATGGACAAAGGAATAGAATAGAAACAATGGAAGGCAGAATTAGTGAGACTGAAGACAAATACCTGAGTACTTCTTTAGAAAGAGATCAGTCAGAGAAAAGATCAAAACAAAATGAAGAAAGCCTAAGGTTCATGTGGGATACTATTGAAAGGAATAACCTACAGGTAATTAGAATTCCAGAACAGGAAGAGAAAAATGAAACCACTGAGAAAAATGTGGAAGATTTGTTGGAAGAGAAATTATCTGATACAATGAAAGATGAGAATATATCCATTCAACAAGTCCAACGAAATCCAAACAGGATAGACCCCCAAGAGACATATCATCATCAAACTCACCACAACCAAAGACAAAGAAAGAATCATGAAAGCAGCATGGGAAAAATGAAAAATTGCCTGCCAAGAGGAACCAGTAAGACTAAGATCTGATTTCTCAGCAGAAACCATGCAGATGAGAAGGCAATAGGATGGTAGATATTGAACCATGAAAGAAAAAAAAATGTTTCCAACTAAGAATTATATACCCAGCAAAATTGTCCCTCAAATATGATGGCAAAATTTGGACATTTCCAGATAAGCAGAAATTAAGGGAATTTGTTAAAACCAGACCAACCTTACAAGAGATACTAAAGAGAGAAAATAACAAAAGCTGGTAAATATGTGGAGAGATTGGGACTCTCATGCACTGATGGTGGTACTGTAAAATGATAAAAGCACTGTGGAAAGTGGTATGATGATTCCTTAAAAACATGGAGTTAGAAATACCATTTGATCCAGCAATCCATTCCAAACCAAAAAATTCACTGCCCTCGAGTCAGAGCTGACTCATAGCAACCCCTTCTTGGTTTTCTGAGGTGATATCACTATGGAAGTAGATTGCCCAACCTTCCTTCTGAGGAGTGGTTAGTGGGTTTGAACCGTCAGCCTTTTGGTTAGCAGTCAAATGCTTAGGCCCTACACCACCATATATCCTAAAGAAGTGAGAGGCAGGACATGAACAGATATAAGCACACCCTTGTTCATTGCAGCACTATGTACAATAGGAAAAAGACAGAAACAACCTAGGTGTCCATCAACAGAAGAATGGATAACTAAATATGGCACATGCACATAACAGAATTCTGTGCAACCATAAATAATAATGTAGAATCTGCAAAACACCACATGCCATGGATGAACTTGGAGGACATTATGCTGAGTGAAATAAGTCAATCACAGAAGGAAAAATATTGTATTAGTTCACTATTGTAAATAGTCAAGTAAAGGTTTATATATGAAGGGAAATTTTCTTTGTTGGTTACCAGGGGTGGGAGGGAACACTGCAAAAATGAAAAGAGAAAAGGAAAGAAATACAACAAGGAGAGAGATGATAGAAAAAAGAAAAACAAAAAAGTTAAGGGTTGATGCCTTTGAACTGTGTTTGCAAAGAATACTGACAATACTGTAGACTGCCAGAGAATGAACAAATCGTTCCTGGAAGAAGTGCTGCTGGAATGCTACTTAGAGGAAAGAATGGCCAGACTTTGTTCAGTTACTTTGATAATGTTATTAGAAGGGACCAGTCCTTGGAGAAAGATATTATGCTTGGTAAAGTGTCAGTGAAAAAAGGGAAGACCCACCACAGGATGGACTGACACAGTGGCTATGACGTTTGGCTTTGCCATAGCAAAAGTTGTGAAATGGTGCAAGACCAGGCAGTGTTTCGTTGTATTGTACATGTGGTCACTTTGACATGGAGCTGACTCAACAGTACCTAACCATATTGCTTTACTGAAAATAGTGCTTCCCCTTATGATTTTTATTAATTCAAATAAATTAAATATTAAAATGTTTACTTTAAAGCATGATGCATGTTAATAAATTAGAAAATACAATATTATGATTAGATACATCACTAATTTTGAAATTTTTCTATTTACTAATATTCAATTTCCAACTCCAGGAATATTTTCATTGAATTAAAAAAATAAATAAAAAAAAAACACATCACTTTAGGAGTTCTAACTCCAGAATATTTTGTGAATTATACTTCATTTTTTTTTTTTTTTTTGCAGGTTGCCTTCCTTTTTCCCCAATTGTTCCCTTGAAATTCCATGTTTATGCTTTAAGTTACCAGGTGGAGAGATCTGCTTATATATTTTGCTTTGGGTCAGCCAAAAGGAGTTGTAAACATTATGAATAAGTTTAATGCTCCTAGGCTGAAAATCATAGGGTGGTAACTTTATCATCAGCATTTTCTCTCTTCTGTCACCTCTCAGTCTCTGGCTTTTTTTTCTTTTCCAGTTCCTAATAGTTACTTAGCTATTAGAGAACAAGGAAAGACTTGTTTTTCTCTTTTAATGACAGTCTGTAGTTTGCTGGTGCAATGGTTAAGTGCTCAGCTGCTAACCAAAACACTTACAGTTTGAACCCAAGAGTTGTTCCATGGTAGAGAATACCTGGTGATCTACTTTCATAAAGATTATAGCCTAGAAAACTCTAGGGGTCAGTTCTACACTATCATACAAGGTTGGTATGAGTCTAAATGAACTCAGTGGCAAAACAACATTGTTTGATGATTCATCTATTCACAATTCTAGTTCAAACCTCTCTCCTAACATTAAGTTATTGCTATAACTAATAAACCCCAACATCTGAATGGCTTAATGTAAATTCAATTCCAAGGACACGTAATGAGCTCTTCACCAATCAGCAATGAAAATAAGAAAAGCATAGGCAAAAGAGTGACTTTCATAGGCATAACTTACATTTATTTTCCATAAGCTTATTCAAACTAAGAGGCAATTGTTATCCTTTGTTCTCATATTCCTTTTCACTCTTCTAGTGTCAAAATGTCCTTTCTTACATGAAATAATGGTGATAATAAAATTATAGCTTTTTAATATATTCTTGCTTGGGAAAATAAAAAGTTGGCAATTGTACATTAACCAGCCTGAACTGTTCCGGAAACCTGGGCATCATGATTTTGTAGACATAATAAATGTAACTCCAGTTCTTTTTGCTGTTAAAAAAAAAAAAAAGGAAAGAAAGAAAATTTCGCTTGGCAGTAAAGACGGGATTCTTCACTATGCATGTATTCAGTGACCCAGACCGAAGGAGACAATTCTGTTTTTTATATGTGGCTTTCATGATTTCCCTAGCCTCTCTTGCAAGCCAGTAGATAGGGAAAGAGAAGGAAACATTGGAAGTAGCCTATGACGTATCCCTGTTGTTACTGTTGTTAGGTACTGTCAAGCCAGCCCTGACTCATAGCCAGCCTATGCACAACAGAATGAAATGTTTCCCTGTCCTGCACCATCCTCACAGTCCTTGCTAAATCCGAGCTCATCATTGCAGCCACTGTGTCCATCCATCTCATTGAGAGCCTTCCCCTTTTTTCCTGTCCCTCTACTTTACCAAGCATGATATCCTTCTGACCACATGACCAAAGTAGATGAGATGAAGTCTGGCCATTCTTGCATCCAAGGAACATTCTGGCTTCACTTCTTTTGGGACAGATGTCTAGGCTACAGTTATCTCAGGGATGAGGTACCTTTACCATGACACAGAGTCTGACTCAATGGATGCTAGCAACAACTTACACAGCAGTTCAAAGGATGTCTTATTTACCTATGTATCCCAAATACTTTTTAAAATTGCTAGCAAATAGTTGGTGTTCAATAATATCTATGGATATAATAAAATTTAGAGTGTTAATTGTACAACCTCTTTCAAAGTAAAACTAGACACAAGATAATTCTTAATATGAAGGGAGAAGATCTTAGTACTGCAACAAAACTAGGATGAAGATAAACTAAAGGTGCTTATGGAAAATAATGTCAGATTGGACTGCTACTTTAGGTAGCCAGCTTACTTTAAGTAATAAGTGAATTAGTGTTCTATATCTGCTTATTTGTGTATGCATGTGTACAGATATCTGAACAAAACGGAATCTTGAAATACATTTAAGTCTAATCTACTCATTACTAAAATGAATTATCTTTCAATTAGGAAAAAAAAAAAGGTCCTCTTTTATAAAATTTGAGATATCACCATTTTGTATGTCCTTTGTGTGACTTGAATATTATTGAATCATTTAGCTGCCACTTCAGGGTATGCAAAAGTATTCGTTTAATTATTGTGTGAAGAAGGTTGTTCAATAAATTTTCCAACTCTTGTGCATAGCCACGTCGCTACATATTTGCAGTCAAAACATTTTCATGCCTTCAATATCTAATCTCTCTGCATTGTTCTTTTGTGTATCACTTCTGCATTCAGAATACCAAGGGGAAAATAATAGCCTAGACTATTTTATATGGAAATAAAATTTGAAATGTATTTTAGGGGAAAAAAAAAAAAGGTATAACAAGGTAGTGTGGAGTGGAAAAATTGAAGTCATGAAATTACATTTTACTTTCAAATTTGAATTTTTTTTGTTGATGAGAAGTTTGATAGTGTCAGACAAGTGCCATATTTTAACTCTTAGCAATTTAGAGCACACTGGACTCTGCCTTCAATTATTAACATCATTCCCTCCTCTTTGCTTACTTTTCAGACCGGTTTGCAATGTTAGCAAACAATAATCTGCAGATTCTCAACATCAATAAGAGTGATGAAGGTATATACAGGTGTGAAGGAAGAGTGGAGGCTCGGGGAGAAATTGACTTCCGTGATATCATTGTTATTGTTAATGGTAAGTGATGAATAATTTATACATATTTTATTGTTAATTTTATCAGTATACCTTTAAAAAGGTCTACTGTGTAAACTTCCAAACACTCATGACTTCCTTAATAAACTTCTACCCTAGGCAGAAGTCTTCCAACACTGTTATGGTATTCTTTCACTGTGTTACAGCCTTTAGGGCAGGTTACGTGGCTTATTTAATACTATTATCCTTATATCATCCCACCAGCCACTCCTCGGAAGGAAGGTTGGGCAATCTACTGCCGTAGTGATACTGCCTAGGAAACCCAAGGAGGGATCGCTATGAGTCTGGTCCGACTCAACGGCACATAACAACAACAACAACAACATCCTCATAATGTTTTCCAAAAATCTATGAAGCAGTTTCCTTTTGCTCAATATATAGTTGAAAGAATGCTGAATGGATCATATAGTAAAGTAGTCTATCAGATTTTACTCTTAAAATATATATTACTTTTACTTTAATTAGTCTAGATGACATTATTTGCAGTTTTTTTTTCCCTCAACTTTCATAACTGAATTCATAAGGTTATATTGCAAGTATTAACAAACATTAATAATTAAGGTTATGGTATTATGGTGGCATTCTATTAAATCAAAAAACTTCCTCCAATATTTCCTACTATATTTTTTTGTCTTTTGCTTTTCCGACTGTATTTCTTGTCTGTGAACAGGACATCTTATGAAGCCAGACGACATACTGAAGTTATGCTGGATGCTCCCCTGTTGGTCGTCTACTCTATTATCAAGACATGTCCATGATACTATAATATCTCTAAAATAGCTACTTTCTCTTTCATCCTGTTGTCCTTTCTATTTTTTTTTTTCTCCTCTCTCTCTCTCTCTTTGATTGTTACAACTTGGTTTCCATTCTTTAAATTTTGTAACTCCAACTTCCTCTCAATTAAATCGTTTAATGCTTAATATTATTCAAAGATTCCTGTTACCTCAGGACAAATTCTAAACAACTTTGATCACAGAAGAATCCTTTATGACCTGCCTTCCCTAACCACTCTGCAAATGTTACACTTTATGTCAGCCATAAGGAAATAATAGTGGGATCCTATATAAATGTTCTTTTATTATTTTATCATCTGCTTTAAAATACCAGTTTAACAGTTACTATAAAGATAGGATCAGTGGGTCTGATGGAATAGTTTGTAGACATTTGGCTACTAACCAGAAGGTAGGTGGTTTAAACCACTAGATGATCCGCAAGAGGAAGATGAGGCAATCTAGTTCCATAAAGATTTAAAGGTTTGGAAACCCAATGGGAATCTCTATCGGTCAGAATCAGCTCGGCAGTGAATTTGGTTTGGGATCATAAAAACAAGCTCTGGTAGCATAGTGCCTAAGGCACTTGACTGCTAACCAGAAGGCTGGCGGTTCAAACCCACCAGCCACTCCTCGGAAGGAAGGTTGGGCAATCCTACTTCCGTAGTGATACTGCCTCGGAAACCCAAGGAGGGGTCGCTATGAGTCGGGGCCGACTCGATGGCATATAACAACAACATAAGCAGTATATAGTATTTGTTCTTTTTAGAATAGATGTATTTTGAAATTAAGGAGTTGACCAAGAATTTCCTATGAGCTAGGGCAGAAATGGGGAAAAATAAATTATCATCTTCTTCCATATCCTTGAGAGCTGTGGTAGCATAATGCCTAAGGCATTTGACTGCTAACCAGAAGACTGGAGGTTCAAACCCACCAGCCCCTCCTCGAAAGGAAGATTGGGCAATCTACTTCTGTAGAGGTACTGCCTCAGAGACCCAAGGAGAGGTTGTTATGATTCTCATTTTGATTATTTTCTCCCTCTTCTTATCCAGAATTACCTCAACTCCATACCCTATATATCTCTCTAGTTTCCTGAATAGACTAGAGATCACTGGGACTACCATATGAATCTAAGAGTTACATCTTCCTCTGTAGCAGAATTAACTGCAAATACCAAGCTAAAGAGTGAAAGGAAATCGTAAATCACTACCCCCCCCATTTTTGTTTTTTATTTCCCTCTTTCTTTGAGTCTATAATTAATTGACATTTATAGATAATATAATGGAATCAACCAGGGGTTGCATAGATATGTCAGTTTATAACCAATTGATAGAGATTATGCATGGTTATGGGGAGACCTAAGCACAGGCCTACAGAGAAGGTTTTTCAGATGTCTTTTAGATATGTGAAGTTCAGTATTTTTAAAGGCAATCATAGTTAGTAAAAAATTTGGTAATCAATAGAGGAGGAATATTTCAGTGCATTGTTGTTGGTGTTACGTTGTTAGGTGCCATGGAGTCGTCTCTGACTCATTGTGACCCTATGCATAGCAGAATGAAACACTGCCTCATCCTGTGCCAGCCTCACAATCCTTGCTATACCTGAGCCCATTGTTATAGCCAGTATGTATATCTATCTCGTTGAGGGTCTTCCCCTTCTTTTTTGACCCTCTACTTTACCAAGCATGATATCCTTCTCCAGGGAATGGTTCCTTCTGACAACATGACCAAAATAGGTGAGACAAAGTCTGGTCATTTTCACATCCAAGGAGTATTCTGGCTCCACTTCCTCCTTTTTAGTCATTTTAGCAGACCATGGTACTCGTAGCATTCTTCTCCAGCACCACAACTCAAAATCATCAACTCTTCTTCAGTTTTCCTTATTCATTGTCCATCTCTCACCTGCATATTAGGTGATTGAAAATATTGTGACTTAGATTGTTGTTATTGTTGTCATTATTGTTAGGTGCCATCAAGTTGTCTCCAACTCATAACAACCCTATGCACAGCAGAACGAAATGCTGCCCTGTCCCATGCCATCACCAGGATCCCTGCTATACTTGAGCCTATTGCCACAGCCACCATGTCAATCAATCTCATTGAGGGTCTTCACCTCCTTCGTTGACCCTCCACCTTGCCAAGCATGTCATTCTTCTCCAGGGAATGGTCCCTTCTGACAGCATGACCAAAGTAAGTGTGACAAGTCTGGCCATTCTCGCTACCTAGGAGCATTCCGGCTGCACTTCCTCCAGGACAGATTTGTTAGTTCTTTTAGCAGTCCATGGCACTTTCAGCATTCTTCACCAGGACCACATCTCAAAAA